CACCATTTCCTTCTTCACCAACGTGGAATGCATGATGAAAGGCTCATCGCCTACAGTACCTGGAACCGATAATGAAATTGCTTGTTGGAAATCGTGAGCGACTAAATCCTTAGAGGCACATTCTGCAATCCCAGAACCCTTTCCTTGCACAAAACAGAACGGTTCCCAAGCGCGGACGACGTACCGCTTTGGCGGCTTAGAAATTCGTGATAAGAACGCTATGCACCCGTAAAGAGGGCGATGCTCCGCCCACCGTCATGTGCTGCAGCATATATTCGTTTCTAAAAGCTTTGTGGTGATGGAGTTCCTACGCTGCAAGCTCTTTCTTTCGAAATGGTGAGAATGATTAGGTACAGGGAGAGATTTGATGTAGTCACGATACCAATACGCGATAACTCGTCGCATTCGTTCTTGAACCCCACTTTCGGTAAAGCAAGATAGCGGAACATGCCTTTAAGTATCAGGTGTAATATTGTGTATAACTTCGAACCTAGATAAAACAACGATTCCGATCTAGGTGTCGCACCCGCAGCAGAACCTGGCCGTCCATCAGTTATTGACAAAGTATGAATATTCTCTGTGTTGAAAAGAGAAACCTAAACGAATAACCATTTTGTAAGTCAAGATATGCTACACCAGCAAAGATCTCACCTCACTCAACTCTCCACCCTCTAACTTCCAAGTATGCGCTATGTGGCTACCGAGTTGACGAGACCACAACTCGTTACCACATTGATCATAGGCCGTTACGATTCCGTCCGGAGGTTGCACAAGATATCGAATCCTGGAAAGGGTAGTTAGATATCGAAAGAGGGTGGGAATCACATTATAACCTACCTAGCACCTCTTGGGTAAAGCTCTCCGCGATTTAACGTGACCAGCGTCGCATCGTACTCCGATACAGATAAATTCCACCTACAGCATAGGCATACATATTTTTGAAGGGAAGCAAAGATTCGAGATAGCTTGGTAAACAAAACGGAACTATCACTACTTACCTTTCGTGACCAGTTAATGCATCAACAGCACGAACTTTACTGGTACTTCGACGAAAAACAAGCGTAGATGACACCGGATCGGTCACAAGGGAATCGCAATGTGAAGATGAACAGTGATAACGCACCTGTTCGAGACAAAGCACTTATTATTGAGATTTAATGAGAAAAAATAACAATAATCATCACGAGGTCAAAAGTCTTGACTAAAGGCGGAACAGGAACCCGCACATCACGCTTACCAAGCTAGTTCGAGTATCTGAAGCGTGACGCTAGGGTTCCAGCCTCCCCTGGAGTCAAGACTTTTGCCCATAATTCAATACTGTTGTAATAACATTAAGAGCCCGAACAGCGGCGTCAAACAACACTGATCATCATGAAACAATTTTAAAACTTGTTGTAATTACTATTAAGTAACAAGGCAAAAGGAAAATACCTCTCCAGTTAAGGGATCCACTCCAGTAGTGGATATTGTACGTCCTCCTGCCACTGCATCATGACCAACACGAATCGACGCCTAGATCAACAATATATTCGATAAAACTAAAACTTACTATTTAAATATATCACTTCAGAAACCCAGTTATCACATAACAACCTGTAACACAGGCAGAATCATAAGTGATACTACCCTATTTTCAGGGGTTAAAGGTGCAACTTTGCGTCAAAAACCGCGCATTTTTCTACTCGCCTTACCCTGCGGTTTTTTTGTAAGTTCTCTTCTATATTAATCGTGACCTCTCTAACTAAGAGGTTATAGGCAGAGATTTCGACCCGGGATCTCCTGCCCTCTTCGCTTGAATCTGAAAATGCCAGCTTCCTGCTGTGGAATAAACACACTACTTCACTTTCACAGGAAGCCAGCATATCGTACGAGTAAAGCGGGACTTAGAGCTCAGATCTCTGCCTATTTCTTTCTTTCGTGGATGGGCACCACGTTTGAGCTGCCCTCTTTCAGAGCCTGCACTCTTGGACAGGGAGCATATAAGTGAACATTACTAGTCCACTCCTAGAAAGCGAATAAGTCCCATGTTCGAAGGGAAGATACCTGGAGAAGAAGATCCGTGTTAAGAGGTATTGGTTCAAGAAGATGTTCATCACGTGAATACATGTAAAGTGTGCCGTCAAGAGCAGGAATGAGGTTGAACAGGCGACCATCAACTTTCATTGGCTGAAAAAGGTTGCATCTCATGTCACGATAGAATGATTTCATGGGACTAATTTCTAGTGACGAATACCACTTTTGCAAATGGAAATGGCGCGAAAATCAAGCTGAGGGGGTTTTCACAGCTGAATTTCCTTTACGTCCATCTGCCATTCAGTGTACGAAGAACAGATTAATGACACGCAACACGCCGCACGGCCAGCCATATGCCTTAGCATAGCCATACTTGTTTGTGATTTCATACGCATGGATGGAATAGCTCGACTTCGTCAGCGTGCCGCTCGTTCTCTGTCAGGACCTGGCCGTCAAGTTATGGACTTGGCAATATCCGCTACGTATGCGGGCGCTTTTGCGTATAGCCGAAGGAGATATGAAGAGGACCCAGCTATCATAACCCTCCAACTTCATGTCCGCGCCCATGCAAGTGATGAGACAGGTATATCTCTGCGGCTACGGACGTGCCCTTATTGGGGAAGGGAACGAATACATCTTACAGGTAATCGTACCATGTGTCTCCGAAATTACGGCCATGGCGCCAGGGAAATGAGAGTTTTTCCTAGGTCTGGGAAAACGAAACGAAGACCGGGTGAGGAAACCAGTTCCAATACCAACTTTTTGCAAAAAGGATCCTTTCGACGTGGTCACTAGAATGCAATCGCCCAAGTAAGATAAATTCTAACAAATTAGGTGTTGCCGACCTGAACTTTGCCTAGCGTTCCACATAGTAGCGCTTCAGCATCGAAATCAGCCACCCATACCACTCTTCCACCATTTACAGCATCAAGGGCATGCAGGCGACCATCCATGGTCGAAACCTGTAAACACCAAAATGACAACAACTGGTCCAGAGAGTAAACAACGCCGTATCGGTGTACATAGCAAGGGCACATCAGGTTTACTAGCACTTGGTACCTCTTATCACATTGCTATCAGGGAAAAGTTGCCTACAAAGAACTCCCATGAAAATAGCTCGGCATTGAAGCGCTGTTGCCGGTTTATTCACCTGCCCTTTTGAAAAATTTTGCAGAGAATTAGCGGTCTTTCAGCACATCCAACCAGGAGCATTTCGATTTGCACGGCGCAAAAAAAAAATTTCAAAAAAAGGCGCTAACGTAGTTGTGGACGAAGGGGAACCACTCGACCGGACCTCTGTATCCCTTCTCCAAGAAGGTTCAGGTGCTTTGGGGTGTATTCCTTTCCCCAAAATTTGTTTTTTTTGTTTCTAATTAGAACGCAAATGACCAGAGTCACCGAGGAAGAGCCCCACAGGAAGCACACAGTTTCCATCAAGTCCAAGCTTTCATTAGGGTCAGGGATGCGAAGGCGCTGCAGAATGGTCCCCCGTTAGCGCCGAAAAAGTTAGTTAATACTCAGAAACCCAACAGATATAACAAAAGTTGGCGGAGCTCTAGGGGCGATGAGAGTTCTCTAAGCCTCGCAAGGACTTTCAGAATGCGCTTTGCACCGAGTTCGTCGCTCGGTCAAGGAGTACAAAGACTGCGGCTGTGGCCAAATTTGTGGAAAAACTCCAATATGTCACTCTAAGGCGCCATTAAGACTTCGTTATGACGCGCGTAGACGCGCTGTAACGCGCTACAATTGCAACCCTATAAACGCGAACTCAGCCGCAGACGGGAATTGATCGGCGCCACACTAGCGGCCAATGCCGATCGATACCAGACTGCAAAGTTATGCCATACCCTACATTTTCCTCAACTCTCAGTACGGTAGCTGCTTCAATCGATTCCCGTCTGTGGCTGCGTTCGCGCCTATGGGATTGGAGCGCTGTTGCAACTGTAGCGCGTTTCGACGCGCGTCATCGCGAAGCCTGAACGCTGCCTAACCTTTGGAACAACAACCAGTGTGATAATAGCCTAAAGTGCTCAGTGAGGCAAGTGTACACATGAA